CCCCGCCTGCACACCCCCACACTGACCCTGGCCAGTCTGCACACCCACCTCCACAGGCCCCCACACGGACCCCTCGAGCAGCTCAGCCAGAGGCCGGTAGTACTCGGAGGGCAGCACGCGGTCCTCGGTCAGGCGCACCTTCACCCGCAGGGCGCCCAGGCTGCCCCTGGAGAGACAGCGGGGGGGGGGGGCTGGTGTGTGGACCTGAGGCCAGGGCTGTGGGCCCTGGGGAGGGGGGCGGGGACAGGTGAAGGGACACTGACAGCAGAAATAGGGACAGATGTGCCCAGCTCTGCATATGTGCATGGAATAGGCAGCGTGCACAGGTATGCGTGGCTGTCAGGTGTGAGCCGGTGTGAGTGGGTGTGAGTAATAGGTGTGAGTGTGAGTGGTAGTCAGGTGTGAGTGGGTACAAACAGTACATCCAGGTGTGAGCCTGTACGTACGGTCCACACAGCCAGGTGTGGCAGGTATGAGCAGGGAAGGTGCGTGGAGACAGGACTGGTGTGCGGGTGTGCGCACACGCGTGCACGCATACAGATGGACAGTGGTAGATGTGAGCGGTGTGTGTGCTCCGCAGGTGGGTGGTGGGGTGGGCTCGGGGTCCACAGTACACCGTGGGGGCTGGAGAGGGTGCCCACGGGTCCAGCGCGGGCCCCCGCCACCGTGGGGCCCTGTACCCGGCATCCTCCGCTGCCGTGGGGAAGGGGAGGAGGTGGAACCAGCCGTTGGGGGGCCTCTGCAGCAGGGCCTGGGGGGAGAACTCCACCTGTGGGGACACACACACACACACACATGCGCACACAGACGTTTCCTCCCTTCCATTTGGCTTTCTCAGACACGGTTGAACCCCAAGAAGGCCTGGAACTCTCAATCCTCCTGCCTCTTGGGACGGAGGGGTGCACCCCGCACCTCACGCCTCACGCCCTCTCCCCCCGGGGCCCGACACCGGGGAGCAGATGTCTCCCACCATTTGCCGTTTGTTTCTCCAGCCGTCCTTCCCTCTGTCCCAGCCCTGCCTCCCTGGAGGACCCCAGCCACACCCTCCTTACAGGTGGGGAGACGGAGACCCCCGTGCTCTGGGAGGGGCTGCAGAGATCTAAACCAAGTCTAAGTCATGGCACACTGAGAAAGCCAATTTGCCCTCCTAAGCCTCCATTTCCCCTTCCCTAACCCGGGCGAACAGCAGCTCAGCCGGGCGGAGCCACCAGGAAGGCTGAGTCAGCACAGCTCTGCTGGACAGCGCACCCCGTCCCCCAGGGGACAATGACGCCGCACGCCCCTGGGGGCAGCCAGGGCACCAGGGCCCGCGCACCCGCCCTTCCCAGCCCAGGAGGCTCAGGCCTTTTGGCCCATCTGTCCCAGAGGCACCGGGCACCGTGGAGGGCGCCGGAGGGCGGGGCTCACCATGCCCAGGAAGTCATTCTTGCCCACCATGTCCCAGTCCCAGAGTTCCACGCGCAGGGGGGCGACCGCCCCCGGCGCGGCCCGCAGCTCCAGCACCTCGTCCCAGTGCGGGAACCGCGTCTTCTTGATGATCTGGCGTGAGAAACAGTGTGTTTGAGTGACAGGTGGGGGGGCGGGCAGAGAGGAGACAGAGGGGGGACCTGAAGGGGGACGGGGCCCACCCACCACCGGGGCCCGCACTGGCCCGCTCCCCTCTCCATGCTCACCGACGTCTCTGAGCTCTGGCTGCCCCAGAACACACGAGCAAACGGGTCTGATGTGCCGGAGATGTCCCGGGGGGCCAGGTCCCTGGGGAGGGGAGAGGGGAGAGACACAGGACGCTTGAGAACCCAGACCCCCAGAAAACGGGCCTCAAGGGAGACCCAGCTGGCCCTGTCCCTACGTCCATCCATCCAAAGGATCGCATCCCTGGCTCTGCCAGCTTGGCTGGGCCACACTGAGGGGAAATCGTTTCCTCATGGGGAAAATCGCAGGGGCCTCACGGGGTCAAGGGTCACAGAAGGTGACTTCATTGTGCCCAGGGCTTGGCGGAGCCCCTGGCAGGTGTGAGTGCTCAAGCTCTATTCATTCCACAAACCTTCGCACCCGCACCCTGCCCAGGAACCCAGAGCCTGCAGGAGACAGACCACACCCTTGTTTCTATGGCAACACAAAAACCCTCTCCAGCGCTGTCTCCATCCTGCTTCTCCAGGCTCCCGCAAACCCAGGAACCCCCTCCACACACCATGAGGGACTGCCTGCTTCCTGCTTCGCCAGGCATCCAGAGACTTTGGTTTCCTAGGAGCCAACATCGTTGCTAAGCGACAGCAGTCAGCCCCTGTCCTGCTGGTGAGGATCCTGCTTTGCCTCTTGGTGGGGAGGGGGCCATGGGCAGAGGGCAGGTGAGGAGCCCGGGGCCACACACTGAATCTGCACCTGGTCCCCGGCCTCCTTGATCCAGTCCTTCTCCATCAGAGGACCAAGGCTGGAGGAATGGGGGAGGACTGAAATCTATAGATGGTAAGCAAGGCTCAGAGAGGGCAAAGAAGGGCTTTATGGTCACACAGCAAAGCTAGAAATCTATTCTCTCCTACCTGCATGCACAGAGGCCCCGAAGTGAGGACTGGAGCAGAGGAAAGACAAAAAGGATGACAGATGACAGAGACCGGGGAAAGGGGCAGATGGACGCAAGGGCTGAGGAGAGGGAGGGGATCTTCAAGACAAGGGGAGAGGAACATGGCTGCTGGTGGGCTGGGGTCCCTAGAGGCCTTGCTGGCCCTACATCTCTCTTCCTGAAGACTTTCTTCAAGAGAAAAGACCCACCTTTCTGCCCTCTTGGCCCACGTGACTTTGATACGCCAATCCCTTCTCCCAGACCATTAATGACCAATAAGGTCTACAGAGTCCGTCCGTGTGATTGGTTCAGAAATAGGCATATGTCCCAGACAGAACCAGTAAGAGCCCGCCCGAGGACATTGCTTGGAATGGCCAGTTGTTGGCCACGAAGCTAGAAGCTGCCAGACGGGGGCTGGGGGCTGTCTTGCCCCCACCAGAGGGATACCAGCCCAGAACGAAGCCAGCACAGCCAAAGATAGAGCCAGTTTCTCACATTCCTGATCGAACCCCTGGATCCAGCCATGCCTGAAGCCATCTCTCCATTCTATGAACCAACCAACGGACAGTTCTGCTTAAACCAGGATAAACTGAAGATCTCTGTCCGTTACAACTTGATTCCTACATCCCCAACTGGCCTGTCCAATCATCCACCCCCAGTGGTTGGCCCATGGTTGGAGATCACCGGGAGGGAGGGAAGGGAATAAGGAGATCTTACTTGTGATTTGCCCCCCTCCCTAGCCCAGAAAGCATGCAATGAGTGAGCTGGGGCTGCAAGCGCTGAAGTCCCCTAGGACAGAAGAGGTCCCAAGGCTCCCAGAGCTGGAAACACAGGGGGCCAGGCCCACGTTCAGACCACGGCCACCCCACCTCGGTGGTGACTGACTGTACCTGGCCTGCCGGATGTGACACCGAAGACAGCGGCCACCTGCGTCGTCCAGGACCTGCACCGCCAGGCAGACCTCGCCCTGCACCTCTGCGTCCGGGTCCACGTGGCTCAGGTTGATCCAGCTGTCGATGCCTGCGGGACACACACAATGATGCTTCGTAGACACGGGCCTAAAAATTCCCCGGTGGGGACTTTTTCCTGTCATGCGTCCTCTGTCTGACATAGGGGCTGTAATCAGCATCATGTCAATGGGAAGAAACAGGACCATGGTGGGCCAGGGAGGCTCTTCCCAGGGGGGTAGAGCCCCAGCCAATGGGGGTTTGGACCAATGCTCTGAGCCATGTGCTGTGTGTCCCTTGTCACCTTGAAATACAGTCCCTAGCCCTCAGCCCTGCTCTGCAGAATCTCGGGCATTCTGTCTGTCTCTGTTCTCTCCAATGCTTCGAAGATAAGATCCTGGTGTCTTCCAGCTCCTATAGTAGTGAGGAGTCAGCTTTGTTTATAAATTGTCTATCTTTTCTCCCTCAGTGGGAGACAGTATTGGGGTTTGAACTCAAGCCTCGGCTCACTAGGCCGGTGCTCTGCGGGGGAGCCACACCCTTACCCCCTTTGTTGTTTGAGTCATTTTAGGGATAAGATCTTGTATTTCTGGCTGGGCCACCCAGGTATCTGGATCTACAGGCCCATTCGGCGGTCACCACACACACAAGGAAACAGGCCACCATGAGCAACAGCACACAGCAGCGTCCGCCCCCGAGACCCGCAAACGCGTTAGGTATTTTCTGTAGGTTACCACTTGTTTCCAGAGTCAAATATTTAAGGAAATAAGAGACGCCATCCCAAGGAGCGCCAGCAATAACAGCAACTTAAAGCAACACGTGTTTAAAAATGAGCAGGCACCGCAGAGCATGCGCTCAGCGCAAGGCGCTCCTCCCCGGCAGCATCCTCAGCGGCTCCCGCTACGATGGGGCTGAGATCTGAGGACCACAGCCGGCAGCCAGCCTGGGCAGGCGTCTCCAACGGACCCGCAAGAAGCCAGCGGCAGAGCCGAGCTCCAGCGGCAGAGCGCCGGCCGTGCCAGGGGCAGCGCCAGGCCCGAGCTCCGGCCCCGGGCCCGCACCGGACCCATGAAACCACCGTCCGCAGAAGGGCCCGGCCCACCTCGGGGGTCGGCGGTGATGGCCTCCTTGCTCAGGGAGATCTTGCCGATGACGTCATCGTGCCTGCAGGGGGGGGAGGTGTGAGCCTGGGACCAGCCACCCGCCGATGCAGCCAGGCAGGAGTCCGGCTGGGCTGCGCTCAGCTGTGGGGCAACACCCCTGCTTCCACCGCCTCCCCCAGCCCCGCGCCTGCGCACCCTGCCCACCCCAGGCCCGCCCCGCACTACCGGATGCCCGACCCACACGCCCCGCCCCTCTGCGCGTGCCAAAACCCCGCCCACCACATGTCACGCCCCCTTTCCCGGTCGCTCCTTGGCCCCGCCCACCGCACGCCCCGCCCACCGCACGCCCCGCCCCCAACTTCCTCCCCCTCCAATCCCCACCCACATCTCGCCCCTCTGTGCTCACCATGGCCACACCCACCATACGCCACGCCCATTGCCCAGCAAAGCCCCGCCCCTGCGTGCCCCGCCCGCAGCCCCGCCCCACTCACCCCACGGTGTCCTGGTCCAGCACGTAGAAGGCCAGATGGTGGAAGTCCTGCGGCAGGTGCACCGTGTACTCCTCCCCCCAAAAGGGGCTCAGGCTCCGCCACACGGTCGCCGTCCTGCAAGAGGGGAGTGGGCTGGGCCGGGTCCCCACAGACAGCATCCGCCCGCCGGGGACCGTCCGGAGCCCCACGGATGCCCTCCAGGACAGGCACCTCACGATTCTGACGGGGCCGGGACAGACCCAGTGTGCACAGACCCCGTGCACACACGCAGAGGCCTCACACACACACAGACCCCGTGCACACACGCAGAGGCCTCACACACACACACAGACCCCGTGCACACACGCAGAGGCCTCACACACACACAGACCCCGTGCACACACGCAGGGGTCTCACACACACCCACAGACCCCGTGCACACACGCAGAGGCCTCACACACACACAGACCCCGTGCACACACGCAGAGACCTCACACACACAGACCCCGTGCACACACGCAGAGGTCACACACCCACAGACCCCGTGCACACACGCAGAGGTCACACACCCACACACAGACCCCGTGCACACACGCAGAGGTCACACACCCACAGACCCGTGCACACACGCAGAGGCCTCACACACACACAGACCCCGTGCACACACGCAGAGGTCACACACCCACACACAGACCCCGTGCACACACGAAGAGGCCTCACACACCCACAGACCCCGTGCACACACGCAGAGGTCACACACCTACAGAGCCCTGTGCACACACGCAGAGGCCTCACACACACACACAGACCCCGTGCACACACGCAGAGGCCTCACACACACACAGACCCCGTGCACACACGCAGAGACCTCACACACACAGACCCCATGCACACACGCAGAGGCCTCACACACACACAGACCCCGTGCACACACGCAGAGGCCTCACACACACACAGACCCCGTGCACACACGCAGAGGCCTCACACACACACAGACCCCGTGCACACACGCAGAGGCTTCACACACACACAGACCCCGTGCACACACGCAGAGACCTCACACACACAGACCCCGTGCACACACGCAGAGGTCACACACCCACACACAGACCCCGTGCACACACGAAGAGGCCTCACACACCCACAGACCCCGTGCACACACGCAGAGGTCACACACCTACAGAGCCCTGTGCACACACGCAGAGGCCTCACACACACACACAGACCCCGTGCACACACGCAGAGACCTCACACACACACAGACCCCGTGCACACACGCAGAGGTCACACACATGCACACACCTACAGAGCCCTGTGCACACACACAGAGGCCTCTCACACACAGACCCTGTGCACACACGCAGAGGCCTCACACACACACACAGACCCCGTGCACACACGCAGAGGCCTCACACACACACAGACCCCGTGCACACACGCAGAGACCTCACACACACACAGACCCCGTGCACACACGCAGAGACCTCACACACACACAGACCCCGTGCACACACGCAGAGGCCTCACACACACACAGACCCCGTGCACACACGCAGAGGCCTCACACACACACAGACCCCGTGCACACACGCAGAGGCTTCACACACACACAGACCCCGTGCACACACGCAGAGACCTCACACACACAGACCCCGTGCACACACGCAGAGACCTCACACACACCCACAGACCCCGTGCACACACGCAGAGGCCTCACACACACACAGACCCCGTGCACACACGCAGAGGTCACACACCCACACACAGACCCCGTGCACACACGAAGACACACACACACAGACCCCGTGCACACACGCAGAGGCCTCACACACACACAGACCCCGTGCACACACGCAGGGGTCTCACACACACCCACAGACCCCGTGTACACATGCAGAGGCCTCACACACACCCACAGACCCCGTGCACATACACTGAGGTCTCACACATGCACGTGCACACACGCAGAGGTCACACACGTGCACACACCTACAGAGCCCTGTACACACACACAGAGGCCTCTCACACACACACAGACCCCGTGCACACACGCAGAGGCCTCACACACACACACAGACCCCGTGCACACACGCAGAGGCCTCACACCCACAGACCCCGTGCACACACGCAGGGGTCTCACACACACCCACAGACCCCGTGCACACACACCGAGGTCTCACACATCCACGTGCACACACGCAGAGGTCACACACGTGCACACATCTACAGAGCCCTGTGCACACACGCAGAGGTCTAACGCACATGTCCACACACGGCGCACATCCGAGGAGCCAGACTCATAGAGAATGAGCATGGGTGTGTAGTCCACACACACTCCAGGGAGGCCCGAGACGCAGGCGCACCCCACATACACAGACACACAGGGTGTCCTCAGAGACTTCTAGAACCACATACCTGTGTGTGTCACCCAGACACACAGCATGCAGCACCTCTGCTGACATGTACCGAGCCACACCCACACCCACACGGGCTTGCTGGTGTGCACACAGATCCAGTCACTGTCTCCATCCTTCCAAGGCCTTTGGGAGAGGCCATTGACCAGGTTAGCTCAGGGATGCTGAAGCGAGGCCCGAGGAATACTTACTGCTGGAGAGGGCGGCAAAAGGGAACGGCAAAGAGGACAAGTGTTCCAGATGGCTGGGACAGCATGTGCAAAGGCCCTGAGGCAGGAGTCGGTCTTTTTTAGTTCAAAGAATGAGAAGACATCAGAGGCAAGGGAGCGCTGAACACTGAGATTCATGGAAAGCAAGAGAGACCGCAGGATGGCCAGGGACCACGTGCTCACACACACACACACAGGCTGTGCTGCTGATCCAGCCCAGGGGCACCACCTTCAGACAGACCCTGGACGATTCCTCTTACTCCCTTCCCCAGCCTTTTCCCACGCCTGAGGTCCCCTCTTCTCCCAGCTCCTGATCCAGCAGCTCCTCGGAGCTCAGTGTGTGTGTATGGGGGAGCAGGGGGGGCAGCCTGAGGTCCCCCAGAAAAGCACTCTGCAGAAGGGGCTGAGAGCAGCCCGCTCTCCGGGGTGGGAGGGACCAGTGGAGGTCAGCCCAGGGCCCCCCGGCCTACCCCTCTCCCCACGGGGTCTCCGCGCTCCCAGCTCCCTGCCCATCTGGTCCAGAACTGGCGCCAGGAGCATCCTGAGTCCTGCTGTCTCCATAGGAACCGGGGCTCCCGCCGCTGCCCACCCACCTCCCTCCCGCCTGCCCCGCCCCCGCCACAGGTCCATCCACACCGCCCAGCCGGGACTCACACCCGCGCAGGCAGGCTCGAGCGCTCACGTGGGAGTGCAGAGGGCCCATGTGCATGTGCACACTCACACACACACACACTGGGCCCTGGGCCCCCCTCACACCAGCATGCTCACGTGGACACAGGCATTCACGCCAGCTCTGCCACCTCTCCCCCGCACACTCACGAGTAGGCCCAGCTGGAGACACACACACACACACACACACACACTCATCCTCACACACACTCCCCGGCACCAGCAGCACCCGGCAGGCCCGGAACCAGCCAGTCCAGCCAAGCGTGAGATGCCAGCCCAGGAGAGGCCAGTAGCGGAGAGAGGCGCAGGCTGGTGGCGGCTGAGTCACCAGAGAAGGAGAACATCCGGAGGATGGTGGGATACCGGGGTACGGCGGGGTACAGCGGGCCTCCTCGGGGAGAGGCTCACGCCCCAGATCTTTGGTTATTGTTGGCAGAAGTCTTCATAGGTAGCCCGGTTTGGCCTCCAACTCACAATCCTCCTGCCTCGGCCTCCCAAATGCTGGGACTACAGGTGTGCGCCACCGCACACGAATTTGCCCTTCCTGGATTCAGCAGGTCTAGGAAGAGCCCCTCCCCCCACTCCGTACCTGGCCACCACCTCATCGTCCACTTTGACCAGGCAGTAGGGGTCACTGCTTCCGGACCTGCGAAGACAAGGGGGTGAGGGAGGGGCTCGAAACCGCAGCCCTGGGGAGAGGCGTCCAACCTGCCTCATCGATCAGGCAGAGGAGGTTGGGCCCCAGGGGGACTTAACCAGGGTCATATGGTCAGTCCAGCAACGAAGATGTCACCCCCCACAACGCGGGTGGGAGCCACTGCACGGACACCTGGCCTTCCTCCTGCCCCCCCTCCACCCCTTGAGAAAGGGACACAGGGACACAGGACGGGAAGAGTGGGAGCCCCGAGGCGTGGTTAGGTCCAGCGGTCTTCAGTGCCCGGCCGTGCCCCTGCCCCCAAGGTGGCCGGCTGGCACCTCCCTTCCCAGCTCCTGGCCTTGACTTCACTGCCCTGTAAATGGGCCCAGACATTATTTTGGCAGGGGCTGGAAGGATAAAATGGGGGGGGCATGATGGACTGGTCCCTGAATGGCCCAGGAACCCCCAACCTGCCATGGTGCCTGGGGGTCACTGCTGCCCTCCCCCGGGGGTGGGGATCCCCCAACCTCAGAAGGACGGACCCCAAACCTCAAAACTGAAGTGACAATAGGCATGCTATTTCCTCTTGGGTAACCAAGCCAGGCCCATCTCCCTTTCAAAATACCAGTCCTTGGGCTGGGAGGGTAGCTCAGTGGTGGAGCGCTTGCCTAGCATGCATGAAGCCCTGGATTCCATTCCTCAGAACCACATACACAGAAAAAGCCGGAAGTGGCGCTGTGGCTCAAGTGGTAGAGAGCTAGCCTTGAGCAAAAGAAGCTCAGGGACAGCACCCAGGCCCCGAGTTCAAGTCCCAGGAAAAAGAATAGTCCTGAGTTCAACGCAGCTCTCCATCCGAGAGTCTCCTCCCCACTGAGGCTGCCCTGTCCACCCCTGACTCTAAAAATAACCCTGCAAGCCTTGCACTCCACCATTGCTTCCAGCCCTCAGGGCGGCTGAGGCAGGAGGATCACGCGAAACAGAAGTTCGAAGCCAGCCTGGGCAACATGGCAAGACACAATCTTCACACACACACACAACCCTCTGAGCCCCAAAATCATCTCACTCCCCATGTTTCTGCATTTCCCATCTGCCTCCCTCAACCACCAAGCTGTGAGCTTCTTGGGGAACACTCTGCACCCCTCTTTCTCCTCCATCTCCCACTTGGCGTGGAGTTGGCCTGGGGGGGCGGGTGAGTTCTGAGTGGACAGATGTTTGGAGCGTGTGCTGATTCCATCCCCCGCGCCCAGGGCGGGCGGTCAGCCCTCCTGGGGGCCGCCGCCCCTCCCCCGCCCCTGGTCCTCTCATGGGAGCTGAGCTCAGCACGAGCTGCTCCGGGCTCTGACGCACAGGCACAAGCCCTTATCGGGATCCCATCAGGTAAGGCCAAAGTGGCGTGGCGAGCAGGGAGGGATGGGCCTCTCCCCTGCCTGGCCTCTCCCACGGCCCCTGCCCCAGGGCAGCATGGGAAAGAGGTCCCTCCGTGATCCCGGTCTGGTTTTATCCTGAGAAACTCTCGGTGTTCAAATCCTAGGGAACTGTCTCTCCGGTCCTCAGTTTCCCAGGCATGGAGGGCGGGGCCTGGGATGTCTGCCAGCGGCTACGGCCAATCACAGGCGGGACTCTGAAATCCGCTGTGGCCTCCTCTGGGTGAGGTTGGCCATTGCTGTGAACCTGGCTTTGGGGTCTGGGCCCTCCACCTGAGGGGTGAGCAGAGAATGCAGCCCCTCCCAGAGGCCCCCACCCCCGCTCTGATACCTCAGCATGGTCTGGAAGAAGGGGGACACCAGCTAGGGAAACTGAGGCAGGGTGGATGGGCGCCCAGTCAGGGACCCCTCGCACCACCCTTGCTCTGGGGCGCGGCTCTTTCCTGGGCTGGGGAAAGGCAGGGGGTGAGCGGGACCCAGAGGTGCTAGAATGAGACGATGGAAGACAGGGCTCAGACAGACAGACAGACAGCCCTCACCCCTGGATTATGGAGATGGTGTTGGTCCTTAATCTCATTCTTAGAAAGAGGGTGGCCTGGGAACTGGTCTAGTTGCTCTGTTGTTCTTTCAGGTATATTTGTTTGGGGTGACTGCTGAGAAAGGGGGTGCTAAACTCCCTAAGGCCACAGTGGCAGGGTACTGTGGTAAGAAGGTTCCTGAAATCAAAGGCCAGAGAGAGAGACAGATAGACAGACACACAGAGAGAGACAGAGACAGAGACAGATGGACAGAGAGAGAGAGAAACGGAGAGAGCACTCCCCCTCCCAGCAGAGCTAAAGCCCACCCTCAATCAGGACCAAGACTCCGCCTCCCAGCTCACCTCAGCACAGGTGAGCCCCCAAAGGTCCCTAGGATCAGGATCGTGGCTCCGCCCCCAGCCCCCAGTGCCCAGAGGGGAAACCAAGGCTCGGAAAGAGTTTGAGTTCAAGGTCAGGCAGCCAGCATCCTCCCAAGGATTCCACACCTGCCTCAGGTGCTGACAGCCTCAGAGCCTCTCTCTGGGCTCCAGGCCAATGGGGGGGGGGAAACTCCCCTTTTCTGCTGAGTCAGCAATTGCTGATTCAGCTGGGGGGGGGAGCCAGGAACAGAGGCGCCCAAGCCACCCCAGCCGGGTCTGTCGCGCGTGGCAGGGACGGGCCCTGGGGGGGGAAGGGAGGGTGACGGCCTCTTCAGGCAGCTGGACACCTAGAGAAATGTCACCCCGGGTCTGGCGGCTACCAGACCTGGGGAGGGGGGTGTCTCAGAGCCCTGGGTCAAAAGGACCCCAGGAGGCCACCTGGTGATACTGATTGTTGTTTGCACCAGGACCATCTGGATCGACTCCTGGGGGGGGGTTCCCCGATATCCACCCCCAGCACCTGCCTGCAGCCCCCTCCCCAGCCCGGCCAGAGCCCCTGGGGCACATCCCGGAACAAAGACGCCCGCGGTCCCTGGCACGGGGCCTGCCCGACGCCG